CCCCAAAACCCCAAAACCCCTGCAGTCATAAATTCAGCCAATTAAAAATATAAAATTTTATGATATATTTAATCAATTTTGAAGTTTAAATAGCAATCTCATATAGAATTTATAAACAATTATCAATAATTCTACTTCTTTTTTATGAAATGCACTTACATTAAACAATCACAATTCCTTTCTTTTTAAAGAAAACTGATTCTACTAATTGATAATACAAATATAAAGATCTAAAAACATAAATAAAATCATCATCAAATAAATTAAGACATAATTAATTTCATTAAGATTCTAGTTCATAATCTCAAACAACTGGTTGGGAGTTGGAAGGAATTTGAAAAGATTGTTTTAAAATAAATGTTAATATCTGGATGCTAAGATTAGGAGATTCTTGATTAGTTGAATAAACATGAAGTTTTAGAAGATGCCTGTTCAAACATTAATATAGAAAAATAAATTTACAAAATTTTAAGTTAATTTCTTCAATAAATGCAAAACTAAGACTTTGAAAAGAACTTGATAAAAGGATAAAATGCTCAATCAAGGAGTATTATTAAAGATCTGAATAAAAGCCAACCTTGTGATGTCAAAGAAATAAAAAATGCAAATCTCTCCTCTCATTAATCATGCAATTTCAATGTCCAACCTTAATGTTAAGATTAATAAAATGACTCAAATAACTAAAGCAAATAAACTCAAGAGTAAGAATAATATCTAAAATCTACTAGGAAATCTAATTCAAATTCAAGAAATGAGATTAAGGAAACTGAAGGTTAAGATTTTCAAATTGGTCATAAGAAATGAAGTAGCCTAAATATGAAAAAAATGCATTAGTTGATAAAAATTAATTTCAATAAAAGGAAGAGAAGAAAAACATTGATTCAAGCAAAGAAATTTAGGAAATAAACAAGGATAATTAAAATTAAAAAAAAGGTTTTGGTCATCTTGGCATTTTAAATCTTCAAGTAGATCATTTATTGGATATGATCTTGTGAACAATATTTAGCATTTACTATTTTTACCTTGGGAGTATAATAATGAGCTCATCAAACCAGTTCTAATTTAGGATCCACTCTTTTAAGATTTAAGGCCTTTGCAAAACTAAAATCATCAACAAACAATGATTTAGAGTTTTTAATAAGTAAAAGAAATAAATCTAAATTCTGAAAAAACGACAACTCTATTGTTTTATAATAAGAAAGATGAAAAGTTACTCCTAGGCTTGAATTAAGCTTAAACTAAGGTATACTCTATTAAAAATGGCCAGGAATGGGAATTAAACTCATTAATTTCTCCTATATCAATTCTAAATCATAAAGAATCAATCTATTGTGGCTTGATAACAAAAGATGTTGCAGTCCTTGATCGAAATGAATATAAATAGAATAAGCTTATTCAGACTATAGAAATAGTAAAAAAAATAATTCTCTATGTTCACTATGATCATCAAAGTAAGACTACTAAAGAAAATTTAGCCTTCCTAGAAGATAAAGGGTGGATAGAAATTTATTGCCCTCAAAAAGATTTAGTAATTTTCTCTTATCAGCATAAGTGCTAATTGGATATTTAAGATGGCCTTCAAGTTCATAATTTAAACCAGCTTTGCTTTGGCTTTGCTCATCGT